GATGAAGATGGTGGTGATGATGATGAGAGGACAGCACTGCATCTGTCTGATGGATTTCAACTCCAGCTGGCGATGGTGGTATGCACGCAGTTTTTGGAAGATTTGACGTAGACAAACTCCATACTGATGTTGACATCTTGCTTATAGAGGGTGCCAATGCCCAGGAAGTCAATTTGTTGATCCTGCTGAGTCATAGAATCCTCGTAGTTGGAATGCTGCAGGGCAGTGGTTGTTGATGTTGACGAAGTCGTTGAAGTCATTTGTTTTTGAGGCTTGTGATAGGTTCACCTGTGATGTTGTTTTACAAGCAACACAACTCCGACATCCTCGCCGAATATATCTTCAACCAGTAATTCATTGAGATGCACCTCTGCGCAACACAACATCGGCTCAACCCGCATCCCCGATTTCCGCAGTTACGCTGTCAACAACCAGCACGATCCATCGCGTCGAAACAACGCTATACAGCATCTATACAGCTACCATCCCCAGCACTTCGTCTACAGTCAGTTCAACCGCAGTTCCAGCACTCGGCAATTACTTCTTTGTGTACGAACCCTCTATAGGCGGCAATGCGACGCAGACTTGCTTGACTTCGACTTCGACGTGTCTACCGCAAACTCCCTCAACGACACCAACACCCTTCTGCCCGCATTTTGCATGAGCTCTCGAACTCCGTTGCCCAGTACCAGCATCTCAGAGGCAAGCCTACAAGCCAGCCCACACCGACTACTTCATCACCGACGTCGAAATTTCGAAGCCCACTGACAACATCACATCTTCGAGTTTCCGAGCGGCACTTCCATCCAGCACGTCCTCGCCTAGCATCAGCAGTAATGCAACACCATGCGCCACCCGTATCCTTCGTGAATAGCTATAGCGTTTGCCATCATCTACATGCCATTGTTCACACCAACCTGCAGCAGTTGCAGATACGACTCGTAGGTCAAGTTAACAACGAGGTGCTTAAGATGCAAGAAATGCTTTGAAAATCTCGAGATGGCCTGCAGGTACGGACAGGTACAAAGGTCCAAAACGGACTCTCGATCGAAAACCGCTCTCATGGACGCTGTCGCCAACAAAAACTCGGACGTGCTTTCTGGATGCTTTTCTCAAACAACCATACAGACTGCGAAAATCATCAACATGGTGATTTTCAAGAGCCCGCGACGACCCCTGCCATTCCTGGGGCCTGGCAGAAACCCCGTCCGACGGCGATCGTCCATATTGTCGAACAACCCGCGACCGAAACAGAACCCCAGTGTGCCAGAACAGCAATTTAGTTGTTTCCGTGTTCGGGGAAAAGCCGTCCAAGGTGCCGGGACCATAGCTCAACACGACGAGCGCAACGGTTGCCACTCCTGGACATCCTCCAAATCCGTACACATCCTAACGGAAGCTCCACACAACGACCCTCGACTTATCCGTACAACGACAAAAGATATCCAGACCTGCACGGCCTCCTGCGTCAGACTACATGTCAACCTCCGTTGTAGTCTGACGAGCAGCAATGGAAGAAAGGGGCTTGCTGGCATCGTCCTCACCTAGGACAAACCACCGGAAGGGTCTGCTACAAGCTAGAAAGCGTAGCTTGGAAAAAGTCACAGACCCTCCTCGTCATCTTGACCTGCACTATCAACTTGGCCAACATATGCTCTCAGGCTCAGGTCGAACTGCAAATGCATCGAATCGCCTAGTAGAGGAATCAGGGGCACGGCATCTGCATCATCGAAAAGGAGAGTGGTAGATGCCTTTCCAAGATCGGCTGCTCATGAATGGTTGGATGATGCACCGACAAGTCGGAGTCTGAATCGAAGGCCTCACCCACTGCGGCTGTGACGAGATTTTCTCCGATAAGGACTGCAACGACCTTGCCAATAGAATGACATTCCTTGAAGAAACGTAAACACAAAACAAGTCCGGGGTTCGCTCGCCGTCGCAGCCCGCAAAGCCAAGAGGACCATGAAGCAAGTCGTGATCCAAAGCCTGCCATAGAGTCGCTGCGAATAGTATGCACGAGCCCGAGGCCCGGTGCTCCTCCAGGACGTGTCGGAGACACTTGGCCAAAGAGCCTACCTGCAGAAGTGCATTTTGAGCGCGGGGGCAAGCACGCGGGAAAAAGACTTAGACGTCGGCATGCGAACCACGGTACAGGAGCTCCTTGATGCTTCAGCAATGATCTCGCTACTTTCATATGACACAGGTCCGAATCCATCAGATTCTTATCACATGCAGCACTTTCCTCCGGCATCTCTGCCTGACCGGGCACGAGGTTGCAAGTCCACACAACGTCTCCAAGCTTCTATGGAGCACTGGCGTCTGGCCTCAGAGTCCCACCAGCCGTGGATCTTCTTCGCAACCTCCAAGAATCTCCAAGACTGAATGGTGCATCGACCATGCTGGACATGCTGCAAAGTTGAAAGCTGGAGCCTCCCTGAGCAGCCGCTGATGAAACTGCGTTGCACACCTCGACCCGCTGGCCGCCAAGTGGTGCTGTAGATCTCTGTGGCATGCTCAGTATCATTGAGGCATTTTCCACTGCGCTGCAGCCGCACTTCCACGAAGGCCCGTGAAGAGAGCGTAGCAGCAAGCTGGTGTGTCCAAAAAGCCTGCAAGGGTGGAGGAAACTCGTCAGTCCGTTTTTTGTCGACAAGTCAAGCAAAGTGCGCTCAGATGCTCACCGAGCGGGAACTTCAGTGCAAGGCGGGCCGTCTTCGGCTGACAGAGCACAAGCCGTCAACAAGAGCGACAAGTGGATACAAGAGCGAAGAGCATCACGCACCATGTCCGCCAGGACCACCGATCGGTCAAGTTTCCTGTCGGATGCCGAACCTGGCGTGCTCGGCTCGCATGCATGTGCAGGCCGAATGCGTCGGCCCGTAAGTGCTGAGCCTTCAGGATTGGCTCGAAGCACTGATGCAGCAGCTGCTCGAACCTGGCGCTTCACCTTTGGGCAAACCTCTGGCTGACTCGTCCGCCTCCATTGGGCAGTCGGTCCCAACGTGTGGTGCTGGGCACACCTTGGTGCTGGTGCAGCTTCCCCTTTTTCGAGAGGTCCCAGCGCGCAGCTGTGGAAATGGCCGTGGGACTTATGTGAGTTTCCATGCCATCGAAAGCGAGTTTCCTAAAGTGTAGACAGTCTTTGCAAGGAACAACACTTGACAGCAAGCGTGGACAGCGATTACACATGATCGCACTTGCAGATCTTTGGCTGCGTCCAGACAGCACCTGCACTTGTCACACTGCTTGTGGCGGCTAACGGCGAGACGAGCAGAGAGCATGAAGTCCAGTGGAGTCAAAACGATTCAAGGGCAAGGTGTGAGCCAGGTTGCTCCACTCCCCGGTGTGTAAGCAGATTACCGGGGCTTGAACAGTCCAGGCATCCTCCGACTTCAGCAAGTATCTTGGAAAAGCAGAAACCGCGAGGAAACAAGTTGTACCGAAAACCGAGAAGGTAGCTTTCCACGCTGTTCTCCACGCTGGGCAAAGTACACCTTGGGCAGTCTAAACGTAGGCCTCCAACACGTGAAAGACTAGCTCGGTGCTTGGTGCCTGTGATGGAGGGTGCAGCAACATGTCTGCACTGTGCCGTGTCCAACCTTGATCAGACCATCAAGACGCTGTGCCTGGAGAAATATCCTTACATGAGAAAGTCTGCAGTCTTCAGTCGCTGGCCTTCACCGATTGGAATGGCATCTTCATGAGACATCCGGTCCGGTCAAACAGTCTGGCTTCACTGTCACGTGTATTTGGGCCGTTCTGCTAACGATTCCACGTCATAGACCCTGCGTGCTGTTGGATGCTTACAGTCAGTCGCACTGGTCTTGTGTGCTCGCAGCAAGAACAGCGCTGAACGATAGAGGACAGGCTGCTACCAGGCCCTAGGCCTTCGACACGTCTGGGCAGTTTTGTTCGGTTTCAGGAGGGTTGGGGGCAAAGAAGCACTTTTCTGCATCTCTGCTGGCCCAATGAATGGCCTAGGCTTTTGCTACAGCTCCCGCAGCCTTGACGGATTGGCAATACGACAAACACATGCCGAAAACAAATAAATGCTCATGACTCAGCATTAAAGGGAAAGCAGTCTCACTCCCTTTTGTCCGAACTCCTGACAATTTCCACCTCCGATGTGAAACTCGAGGTCATGAAGCGATTGCAGCTTAAGAAATTCTAAGTCCTAAGTACTCTTCGAAATAGAGGCTCCGTACACACGGCCGAATGCCGCAATCAGCTCCCTAATAAGGTCCTGGCTTCTTGCCCTTGCCCTTTGTGGCCTTGCCGCATCCCTTTCCCCAACCACTGTCCCATCCCCAGTTCCCTTTGTCGGAACCCTTTTCTTTGCCCCAACCCTTAGTGTCCTTTCCCTGCGCAGCACCTTTGCTGGATCCTTTGTCCCAGGACCAGGAGCCTTTGCCCCCACTGAAAACACTCTTCACCTCGTTCGCATCGTTGCCATTGCCCCACGCGCCCTTCTCATTCCAAGATTTGCTGCTGTCACCCTTGAAGTCGGCATAGTCACCCTTTCCAAAGGTAGAGCCTCCGTTGGACATCGCGTAGGCCTCATGATCACCCTTGTTGGCCATGCCACCCTTGCCCATGCCCTTGTCAGCGGAATCTTTCGGAAATGTCACCTGGAGCGGCATGCTGTAGCCTTCAGGCTGGAAGTTATTCAAGTTCTCCACACACCATCCGCCCTCGAACTCAGGCATGCGAACAAAACCTGCCATGGTAGACTTTCCACCAGACACAGGCAGCACCTTGCTGCTGTACACGTCCCCATACTGATTGAAGAAATCACGAAGGCTGTCCTCATTAAAGCCCAGAGGCAGGCCAGTCACATACAATGTCACATGAGGTGGGAAGTCTGTCTTGCCCTTTCCCTTCCCTGCCAGCATCTGCACAGAACGCTGATCTTCCATGGCTTCTTGACCTGATCCTGCAGGTCTTATGGCAACAGGGTTCTGAAGACCTTGCGGAATGTTTCCGCCCAGAGTCTCATGGATGTACTTGGTTTCCTCTGCTGTGCTGAATTGAAGCAGCCATTGTGTAGCAGCCTGAGCACGCACTCAATTCACAGAGGCAACACATAAAGAGAGACATGCTTGCCAGTGCTTGGCGCTCGTTGACCTGCAAGCGGCTCCTTTGCCAGCCACAGACTTGACAGAGACAATCGTCGCCTCAGATAGCCCTGGAGGCACACAAGAACTGTGATAGTTTCGCATCTTGCAGTTTCTCATGATTCGCTCATTTCACATCTCTGCTTTCAAGCAGGACGCATATTGCCCGAAGATTTGCTTCACCTGGTCTTCGGAGCAACCTTCTGGAATACCCTCCACTTGCAAGTACTGTTGTGTGCTGGCCTTGGTTCACGGGCGATGTGCCGAGGCTCTCTCAGAAGCGAAGCTGCCACCGAGTTGCCACTTGCATTTGACCCGGATTGAATGGCACCACTTGGTACCCCTGACAGTTACAGCATGGAATAACCAGGAGATCAGGGGGCAGCTGATTGGCTAGGGGAGGGGCAGAGGAGAAGCGAGGGAGCTCAAAATCATTCGAGCAACTCCTCCTATATCAAAAGTAGCGGGCGAGCAGAAGCAACACGGGAGTAGCCCGAACGATACAAGACGTGCCAACATGGCAACCAGCTTGTTGCCTTCCACACCACCTCGCGTTGGAGCACACCCGACCAAAACAGAAGAACATGTATGGAGAAAGGAGGGAGGGAGGAGGGGGGCCAGGGGGGAAAGGGGAGAGAGGGAGGGAGGGAGAGGGAGGGAGGGAGGGAGGGAGGGAGGGAGGGAGGGAGGGAGGGACGCACACGATTGAGTCTGCGCGTGATGCCACAAAGCGCTTGCCTGGTCTCGTGCAGGTTCCTTCTTGTCTTGCCTTAAGCAGCGATATGGCCAAGGCTTAGCAGGCTTAGCAGCTCAGCAGCTAGCAAGATTGCATGGAGAATTTTGGCGACTCCAGGCTATCTCTGAATCTGTGTCGCTGCAAGGCACTGCTCAGGAGGCATCATCTGAATGGTCACTGGCGTGGTCATGCCTTGTGGTATGTTACCGTTCAGGTTCTGGACGAGCCAAGCAGATGCTTCTTTCGCGACACCAACCAAAGCCTCCACTGCCTCACGCAACGTTGGACAGACTGTTCGGAGGTCTTAGGAAGACATCGAAACATCCGCCTGGCCAGGACCCGACTCCAGTACATTTGTGGTGTATATGGGCGCATACTGGCCGAAGATCTGCTTGATGACTGCGTCCGAAGTGCCTCTACAGTCAGCAGTAGCACTGCCGGCATTAGCCCAATACTCTGAAATTCAGTAATTAATGAAACCCAAGGGTTCCACGAACCTTTTCAAACATGCAAGGTCTATCATGGTCTCCCTCTGGATTTGTGGAGAAATCACTCCATGGATGTCTATCCGATCGGGTGTCTCACATGCCCAGCCTGGCGGCAGACCACCTATGTGTACTGTGTCATAGATTGCGGCGGCCATGGCATTTTGCCAGCAACCAACATGTACACTGCAAGCTGCCTGGAAGCCAAATGCACCCCGCTGGCAAACTTCCGAGAGGAGACACCGCTTTCACTCGGAACGCTGTACTGAGGTGTGACCTTGACACAGCAACCTTTTGGTGCAAAGTACACGCGAAACTCTGCAGCGATGTAAATGTTCGATTCGGACTATGTGGGCATGTCATGGCATCTTGCGATGCTTGCTCTTTGGCCCGGCAGGTGTTGCGAAGGTAGCCGCGGCAGCAGCTGCAAAGGCATTGCAAAGCCACAGCCGCAACATTAAAGGAGTATCCTAACAGGCTCCTTGCAGCTCAGCTGTGCTTAGCCGGCTCTCTTGTCGGCCATGTCGTGTCCGAACAACTTTTACTTTTCATGTTCCAGCCGTTCCCTGATATAGCGATTTTTCTTCGCACAGATGTACAGCGCACATGTCTGCTCTGTCGAGGTCATCTGTGGCCAGAGCTTCTCACCAATCTGACCACCTCCTGCAATACCACGGACGGTCTGCAGATGTGTCAGAGTGCCATCAAGTTGCAGAACCAGCGGCCCCTTCTCCGGATCCATTTGCACTTCTTCTTCCTCTTCGTTGAATGGAACCATGACCAACTTCAGGCCATCATACAAAGTAGACTTTGAGAAGCCTGCTGGCTCATGCGGAACCAACGCCATGGCTACACTCGAGGCCAACCTGAACCCAACGCACTTTGCGGGCATCAATGCTTCAAATCGGCTGGAAAAAATGCGAGCATCTCGAGATCGAGAATCCTTTTTTCATTTGCACGAATTTAAAATTTGAATTTAACAGCTGCGACCTGCAGGCAGGCTTGGCTCAAATCAGACAACCGACCCACAATCCGAACAGGACTGAGCCAAACCCCGTGAATTGGATGCAACGTGCGCTAACTTTTGTAGCCTCTTGTTGGACGGACCCCAGGCCCCCCAGGCTCAGGTTGGGCATTGCTCGGCAAAGCTGTGCGGCCGAAAAGGGGCATCTGCATGACCTCCGGCAAACGTTTCCCAAACACAGGTCGACGGTAAACCAGCTCCGAACCTGATGTATCAACCGCCGTCGTGCCACTTGCTCTGCATTGTGCTTGGCTGCGGCACAGGCAAGCCTTCGTCGAAGGTGAATACAGAATACAATCACGAACTCCACAGAACGTTCTGACATTTCTGAACATGCTTGGTCTGAGCCCCAGCCGACCACTGAAGCTTGGATGCTCCATGCCTTGAGCAACGAGGCTGCATGCGTGCTGATGAGCAGCTGCTACTCCTTTCGCTGGCTTTCTGAGGTGCCCGGCTGACTCCACAGTCTTCTTGTCTGATGTAGCGGACCCCATCAAAGTAGTAGCCGTCCTTATCAAGCAGAGCGCTCGAGATTTGACAACGGAAGAACTACACTAACTAGCACATCCTAACCCGCCACCTCCCCAACAGTCGCAGTAGCGAAACCGGGGCTTTAGTTTTGGGCTTTCAACAGCCCGCTCGGACAGCTCATTTTTTTGGCGGTGTGAATCTCTAGCCTTTGGCTGGCTTATCTCCCTGCGCAGCCGTAGGGCTACCAGGGGCCTAGCTTACGGGCTCTTTTCGAGAACCGCATAGCGGGCCAGGAGTCGACCAAGGACCTGCCACTTTAGCAGTACCGCGTCCAGGTCTAGCCTGAAATTTGGGCCGAAGCTAGCAAAGTTCTGGTTGGTGAGATCGTCCCCCAGCTGATTCAAATCCCTTCGAATCCACCGTAGCTGCAGCTTGCAGTTCCTGGCGAAAGTCCCGAAGGGAAGTTGGTGGTCATCGCCGAGTCATCGCCTTCCTGTGTAGCACCTCGTTGGACTGGTTGTCCGTGTTGTTGGCGTCCCCCAAAGATACCCAAAGGCGAACGCCCACCAGAGTAGCCAGGAGCACCCGGATCATCGTGGGGAATGTTATCAAGGCCAGGCGTGCAGCGGTCCCAATGGGTGTTCCCAGTTCAGCCTCAGAGCCACTTCACCATTCAAGTCGCTAGCTTGCAGGTGGGATACTGCGTCTCCAATCCAATAGCCACTCCACACGGAAGCCCTTCCGGAGGGGGATCCCTCTCCTCCCCTTAGTGCCTCTTCCCGTGGACAGGTCGTCCGCCTGTAACAGCATATCCAGCAGAAGCAGGTCCCAAGTAGCCCGAAGGTCGCCACCAGATTCGCGTAGACGGTCGGGCTAGCATCCGAGGCAGCCGTGCTCCTTGACATCATGCTTGTAGCGGCGGTGGGCCTTAGTGATGTCGCCCACCACCGAGAAGGCCACCTCGCCATCCTCGTCGTGCTCCCGTAGCAGCTGCTTCTTTTAATAGAGCCAGGCGACCGGGTCTTGTCCCGGCACTTGATCCGGCGGTTAACTCGCGATCCACTTCCTCCCGCTTTAGCTTCGTCTTCCACGACGGCGAGCACGGCAAAAGCTCTATGTTCACCGTAGCGCTCCTCAAACTCGCCTAGCGACATCTTGGCCATCAGGCCTTCAGCGACGTCCTCCCCGAACTTTTCCTTAGCGAAGTTCCGGTGCTCCTCAATAGATCTGTGGTTCGGGACCACGCTAGCGACCCTCCAGGGAGATATTTCCAGAGGCCACATTGGCTGCTCTTCGGAGAGATGAGGGGTCCTCGGTATCGGTTTGAGGATCATTATCATTATTAATCACCGGAAGCCCTTCCCTGTGCGCTCCGTTGGGTCGCCGTTGAAAAGGCCCGGGCTTGGGTGCCACGGCGCTCTTTCAGTCTACACTTGAGGGAGCTTGCAGTGGAAACTCCGTTAGTGCCACATGCTGGCTTCTTCTTCTTCTTCAACCGTCTTAGGATTGAAGATATCTGGAGCTCTCACATACTTCGTCTCCTTCCACTGGCTAGCTGACTAGCTCCACCGGTATGTTGGTGCCCATGCACTCGGTAGCGCTTTGAGCCTGAGCGAAACTAGCGGGCTGTCCTTCAAGGCCGGCTGGGTCCCCGTGGCCACAGAGCCCGCCCTCTCGCCGAACTTGGTTTTCAAAGCGGCCTGGAGGGCAGCCTCAGCCGCGTGCTTCGCGCCGGCGGCGGTTGACCATAGCTTTTTCCTCGGCCCGCTTTTGGGCCCCGAGGAGTCACACGGACATGACTCAGCCGCTCCTCACGCGGGACCTGAACTGGGTAGCGAGGCAGCTCTACCTGCAACGGGTGCAACTGGAAGCCATCTGCTTGGACATGGCCCTCTCACGCCTGGATGATCATGTCACGACTTTGAAGGATAGATGGGCGACCAGGCAAAGGGGTGTGCACGTCACCCATGATTTATACCACTATCGATTGGTTGACCCCGAGGCACTCTTTATTCGCTTACTCTGAGCGTAAAAAAAAAAGAGAGAGCACGGCACTACGCTGCATTTTTAATTGTTCCCGAAAGGGCACCCGTGCCAGCTGCCACAGAGGAGCCGGCACGCCTTGGTGTGCTGCCGCGCAGGACAGGAGACCTCTCTCTGCCGCGGGTCACGATGATGATGACGGTGGTGGAGGTGAAGGGATGCTGAGATTCCATCAAACAGCCCATGCACACAATCCCACCATCCGGTTTCACCATGAGGCCGACACGCCCCCTCCTAAAAGTGATGCGTCGCTGGCTGTCACCAAGTCCGATGTGGAAAGCCTGTGGTCAATGTGCGCCGACGGTAACAGACAGAGAAACATCAACATCTCGGAGAGTACAGCGCCTGGGATCTGACGAACTCTCGGCCCGGCCTCTTCGAAGGATTGGATCAAGGCCCAGATCAAATTACGACACAACATGAGCGACCTCCGAAACATAACGAAGTACACGAAGCCATCTCGAACCTCCTTCGGTGAACAGCGTGCCCTCCTAAGCAAGGAGAGCGCCGCGCTCACGTAGTTTTTGAGCTCGTCCTCAGCTCGTCCTTCTTCGGCCGGCTCCACCCAGATGAACCATCCACATCTGCACCCCGAATCTCTGCTTTGGCGTGCTGCTTAGCTGACTTCTTCGGGTTGGAGTGGGATGCCTCCTCCTTCATAAGCTGCGATTAGCGGCGCTACCTCAGGTGACACCTCGCCTTCCAGAACGGGGCCTTCTTCTCGAGGACAAAGTTGTCTAAGTACACACGCCAAACCGAAGGGCCTACTGGATTGATGGGCCCCTGAGCCTTCTTCAAGAAATTTCTGCGCAAATGCTGGGCGACACCAACTGAACTCAAATAGCCCATGGGAACCACCTTGGCCGTAAGAAAGCAAGGCTCATTTACCTGAGGAGGGATCAAATCAGGTGGAACGGCTTTACCAAACCCCGGCATTGGAAACCAGGGTGGAGGTAACCTGAACAGATAGAAAAAGCATCGGATGTCCTCGGAAGATATTACCAGCTCCTCTTGATCGTGCAGCTGTAGCGATCCCATTTGGTGTAGAAGCGGTAAAGTTGCCACATCCCTCGTGATCAACCGATGCACCTCACTCAACATCAGACTGCTTCTCACCCTTCTGTACTCCAAACAACCCATTCAAGAGGGGCTCTCCCCCTGGTGCCAGTAGGGCTGAGCGTGGAAGAAGGGCACAAAGATTGTATCGCACAAGCCCCCGTGCTAGATCGTCCCAATCATTGTCCCGAACCATAACCCTTCTGCCTGCTTCGTCGTTCCAGCCCGGAACAAGGTACTTTTGGGGGTTGACCAGGAGATCCAACACCCCACCGTCGGCAAGGTCAATTGCTGCAATATAGAGGCAGTCGAACCTAGAGGTAAAGCTGGCTCTATATTGGCCCACGTGGTCCACTTGGCTGTTCGCACCTCCTCGTTGGAATAACTCACGCTGCGCGTCTGCAGAAACTTGCTCCGGTCATACTTCTCCAAGCTGAAACTTTGCTCCAGAAACACTTGATGTGCCCCCTCAAATAACCCTCGAATCTCGCTCTGTAGCGCGGTTGGACCCTGACTTGACATGGGGCAATGAGACCCACCGTTGAGGTAATTCAGCCCACAGAAGACCACAATAACCAAACACTGACGCCATCTTGCTCACCGATTTTCTGCAGGTTTGCGAGTTGGGCAGGGGCAGAGCGCAAACGGATGCTCTCTGTTGTCTTCCCTCTGCCATAGACGCTTCTCCTCCATTGCAAAAGCTTCTCACCAAGCCGCGGAAACCACAATCGCATCTGCCCAACAATACATCCACAATATTCAGAAACCAATCCTCTGAATAAAAACCATCCTTGATCCCTTCGGTGCCCAGGTGCCTGCCACTGTCAGCTGGGGCTTCGCCCAGCCTGCCAAACGCACTGATTTGAAGCGGACGCCTCAGGCAAACCTCCAACCTCGGCTGGCTCGGTTCTGATGGGGCTTCGTGGGATCGGCCCTGGGGGCTCCCCCTGGATTTCCTGTGTTCGCTTTGCCCCCTCCTTCGTGGTTCTTGCCATCCCCCTTCTTTCCTTCCCCTTTTTTCCGGGGATCGTCCTGCCACCGAGTTTTGCCGGCCACCGCCTTTCCCCAAATCCCGTTGAGCCCTTGATTCTTGGCGAAACTCTCTCACGTCACCCTGAGCTTCGGCTACACTGGTGATGAGTTCCTGGTCGAGGGGGACTAGCTCCAAATTTTGGGCCACCGCCCACGCCGATCCCGCGAGGACCAGCTCGATGCTGCGTCATAATATCCATGGCCCCCAGAACGTCCCTTTGCAGCAATCGATCTAGAGGGCGACCCAGTGTCAGTAGCTCCCTCTTCTGAGCTCGGGCTGGATTCCTCATCATGACATGTAACCGGAGATAGCGAAGAAGAATAGGCTGTATTGCGCGCATACTTCCCTCTCCCACTTGCTGCACCCGAAGGCGACCCATCTCGTCTACAGCGTGCCTTGTAAGAATACCGGGTATCGCCTTTGCCAACCTCTTCACCGTGTGACCTTCTCTGAATGGGTGTCCTGAGTCTGCCGAGTCTATGGTTCCCCCGCTCCCGATACTACTGCTCTCGGTTCTGTAGCTGCTGTTGCTCCTGCTGTTGCTGCTCCTTTCCCGCTTGCGCTTCTTTCTTTTCTTCTTCGTGGATTTCTTGCTCCTCTTCTTTCTCCTCCGCAAACATCTCTTTAGTGTTTCTTTGGCGTCCAAAGGTGTCCCATTGAAGCTGGGATCTCCTGTTTTTATGTTCTTGCGATCTGTCAGGGGCACTGGTGCCTCTGCATGCAGCCCTTGCACTCCAACCGTCCTAGCCACGCCCAAATTCCCAAAACCCAGAAAGTGGCAATGCTGAAATATCCAAGCTCTCTCCACGCTGTAATTCGCCTTGGTAGTCGTAGTAACGGCGTACCCGCCTCCTAGAAAAGGAGACAAGGTAAGAGGTACCTTGGCACTGAGCGCGCCCTGATGCCTAGCTTTTTCAATACTCCCCTCGGGGGCATATAGTTACTTCAATAGAAAAAGCCCAGGTGTGAGTCACTGGATGTCGGGCCCCGCCTCTTCGTCACACCAGCTTGGAGTCAGAGTCTGACCAGTCGAAGCACTCCCACTCGTAGACAAATTTGCGAACTCGAGCTTGCTTAACTCGTGTGTCCTGCCCGGTCCTCCGCGCCTGGCCTTTGTTCTTCTTGTGCCGCTTGCGTTTCCCAGAGTTCTCAGCAGTTTCTTCAGCGCTATGGCGCCGAGGATCAGAAGAAGTAACTGCACTACCGCTAGGAGGTTCCCGGGGCTCTGTGGCGTTACGCGATACATTGACAACGTCAGACCAACGCTCACCAGCGAGGGCGCTAGAGGATGAAGGATACTCCACGGGAAGGTAACCTCCGAAATGCCTCAGGTCCCTTAGCTTGGTTTCGAGTGTCGAAACTACCGCTGTGATGTTGTCCTGAGAGTCCACGGGAAGTCTCAAGCAAACACCACGGATGCGATTTAGAGCACGACAAACCGCACAGGTCTGAGGTCGACTCAAAAGTTCTCGCAGACGCTACACTTACTTGCCTCGGACATCCTTAAGCAGAAAGGGCTACCGCATTCGAGTATATCGCTGTCTTGAATGACGAGGACGTTATATCAAGACATGCGAGCGTATTTAGGATACCGATGTCCTGGATGAGCTTCGACAGCTCAGAGAGCAAAAACAGAAGACGGAAGACAGGAGACAAGAGAAAGAAGTTCGAAAGCAGAAAGTCCGGATGCGGCTCGAAGAGCAGTACTGTCGGTGATCGTCATGCAGAAAAAAGAAAAATGAAGACAAGACAAAGCTCAAGAAAGCAAGAATTAGGGGCTTCGTCGGATGCCGTGCGTTGCGGACTGGTTCCGAGATCACACAAACAACACTTAGCTTGTCAAGTCACGGCGGAATTTCGCTGGGCAGTTGGAGCCAGGTGGAGCTGGGGCGTAAATAGCATTGCTGCCAGAACTGCCTAGACATGATAAGTGTGGCGGAGACGGAACATGGACGACGCGTGGGCTTGAAGGAACCGTTGGAACAGAAGGGTATAACAGGAATTTATGGAGGGGGAATCTCGTCAAAAGTGTGTTGTGGCTAATGTTCCCGATCTGGCTACAAAGCACACAGTAGTTGTCAGGTTTAGCGAAAGCAGGTAGAGGAAACCTCGTGGTCAACATCATGCGAAGCGGCTATGTTGTTTGGATGATGCCGCCATGGGAGCGGTGGAATGCAGTGTAAAGTAGTCCTGGCACACGTGCCAGTACTTCGTGCACACAGGTACTTCCAAGTGAGTGAGGTGCGGGTCAAATTCTAGAAGTTGGAGTGGAAGTATCCCTTCAATGCAGTGAAGTGTCTGGTGGACCTTCCAGTCGCACCTGCAGCAGAACTTCTGGCGGCATTGTGAGTAAACAGAAGTACCTGAACCTCGCCTCTTCCTCTATTTTGGCTCGCAGGCTCACAGGCATGGTGTCGACTTCCCAGACGATTTCCTGAATCCATGCACCAATAAGACTGAACTAAGACGCGTCGCACGAGGATGCTTGCACTTCCAGCCGATGACGACAGCATGAAGCGTGGAGTGGAGTTCAATAGCAACCCTCTCCCAAACTCCAATATCGAGCAGCATCTAGCCTTACCGTTACATCTGGTTCTGGAGATTACTAGCAGGACAGCTACTGGCCGCTGTTTTTCGAGGAAGCGGCATATCGCTTGATTGGATTTCTGGCGACTCACAGAGATGAGAGGTCCAAGATGAACATCACACTGTTCCAAAGTCTTGCTCCGGCATTGGCCGCAAGACAAAGAGTGGTCCTCGGGCGGCTCTTGCAAGCCACATTTGGCAATCTGCCCAGGAGCTGGAGTGTACAGTCTTCGGTGAGTCTCGAAAACGCCTCTGCTGTCGCTGCTGCAATCAACTGATCTTCCGAGGCCTGCGAGTCAACCCCATCGCATTGACGGCAATGCGACGCGAGCCGAATGTGTTGCTCGCCTTGTCATCTAGAAGGCACCACCAAAAAACAACACCTGAGGAGCAGCAGCCGAATCTGCTTGAGAACACGGTGCAGTAGATCAACGCGCACCGAGTTCTGAAGACAACGGCTCCTGCCAATGCTGCGGCGGTCGCAGCTCCTTGGCACGAGTCAGCAAAACACAGACTGCATGTGTTGGAAAAGGACTTAAGCTCCCTGCACCCTTGGGGGTGAGAACCAGTCCCTGTCAGCAGGTGTGTTGTGCGGAAGATAGCCGGCAAAGAGGGAGTGTGTTCGCTAGGCTGACATGATCCGTCCTTTCGCTCCTCCGAGCGGTCTGGCTAAAACTCTCTTGCTGGTGTGTGCTCCAAGCTGGTGAGACTTACCGCAGATTTGTGATGTTCTTGATTTGGTATTTGATGAAAATAGATGCAAAATTCGGGGGCCCCGGCCGAAGCGCAGTCAGAGGTTCCCTCCCCTCTTTCCCCTGCTCTTAACCCCTTTCCAGGAAGCCCCCCAGCAGAACCGGGCCCAGGCCATGCGAAGCGCTTACAATCAAAAACCATAATTTAAAGGTAAACAGAAGGTGAAAATAAAGTGTCAGAAGGTGATGCGTGACACACCCGATTCCACCTCCCTGTGCACCTTGCTTCGACTTTTGCATTTTGTGTTTGCCTTTTGGGTCACCTTTTGTTTGTCCTTTTTTTCCTTTTCTTAAAAGTGAAATTTGGGCGGCGGGTTGGCTCCCGGCAACTGGTGCGAAAAGGGTGCGGAGCAAAAGCTCAGGAGAAGGTGGAGTAGACTGGCACCTCTTCTTTTACCTTTGATTCACCTTCGTTAAGCGTTGAAGTCGACCAAAAAATACCCTCAAGAACGAAACAACAGTAGATATGAGGTAGAGTCCGCGGTGTTTATTGAGCTTGTTTTTCCGACTGCAAATCCACGCCGGCAAGAATGTCGGTCGGTGATAAAGTTTGCGACGCATACCCCACCATCCCTTGCAGGAGTGCGAATCGACACCACACCCACTCGTGTCCTTCTTGCTGCAACACTTCGCGCCCCGCAACCGGAGAAACGGTAATCTGCGTCCTTTTATTTGTTATCTGCACCTTTATTCTTGGGGTTATCTGCGTCTTTAATTTTTGGGTTATCTGCGTCTTTCTTTTGGGAGTTGTCTGGCACCTACTGCGTTTTCTCGCAAGTCACTCGGTAATCTGCATCTTTGTTTTTTGGGTTATCTGCGTCTGTCTTTTGCTGTTATCTGGTACCTGCTGCGTTTTCCAGCAAATCACTGGGTTATTTGCGTCTTTTTTGTTTTATCTGCGTCTTTTTCCTTTTAGGGCTAGGATCTTAACTCCAAAATCCAAAAGAAATTAGCTATAAACGGTAGAAAACACACATACAAACGTTAGAACAACAAGAACCTGTAAAGAAACTAAGACGCATACGAAATTGCGATTCCGGTTCATAACATATCTCAAGCACTCCCCCTCATTTGGCGATTCCGGCGCATCATACATCTTAAACGCGTTCCCCCCCCCTCATTCTTAAAAAAACTGCATTCCTCATGGCCACTCAGGTTGATTGTCCTATAGCTTTGATGGGACCTACCACGTTTCGGGCTGATCACTAGGGTATTTCCGTTTGTTCTTTTGGGTTATCTGCGCCCTTTTTCTTTCGGTTCAGATATTAGCTTAACAACCCAATAGAAAATCAAAGCCACGAAAAAAACTTTAAAACACTAATAATATCAATTAAACACTAAAAAAACAATATAATTAAATTACAGACCAGTGCGGTTCGTCATATATCTTTAGCACGCCCCCCGATTGGGCGAATCCGGTTCATGATATATCTTAAACAGGCCCCCCCTCATATACCTTAAACACGCCAGTCCAGTGGGGTTCATCATATATTTTTAACACACCCCCCATCGGGCGATTCCTGTTTATCATAGAATTTAAACACGCCCCTCATTTGGCGATTCCGGCTATCATATGCCTTAAACACGCCAGACCAGTGGGGTTCGTCATATATCCTAAACACGCCCCCCGATTGGACGATTCCGGTTCATCATATATCTTAAACAGGCCCCTCATATTCCGGCGGTCATATGCCTTAAACACGCCGCCCGATTGGGCGATTCCGGTTCTTCATGTATATTTAAACTTAAACACGCCTAATTTTATATATTGCAACATGCCCCTCATTTGGCGATTCCGGTTATCATAGACCTTAAACACGCCAGACCAGTGGGGCTCATCATACATCTTAAACCCACCCATTGGACGATTCCGGTTTATCACATATATTTAGGAAGAGCGTTCCGCTTACTGAGCTTGTACTCCAAAAGCGGCCACCGGAAGAGCGTCCCGCGTACAGAGTTTGTACTCCAAAAGTGCGCTTTCAGGGCCCAGCCACTGGAAGAGCGTTCCGCGTACTGAGTTTGCATTCCAAAAGAGCGTTTTGAAGGTCTGGCCACTGGAAGAGCGTTCCGCGTACTGAGTTTGTACTCCAAAAAAGCACCTTCAAGGCCCGGCCACCGGAAGAGTGTTCTGCATACTGACCTTGCACTCAAAAAGAGCAGTTTCACAAGTCCTGTACTCCAAAAGAGCACTTTCAAGGCCCGAGTACCGGAAGAGCGTTCCGCGTACTGAGTTTGCCCTCAAAAAGAGCTTGTACGCCAAAAGAGCATTTCGAAGGCCCGGCCACAAGGAAAAGCATTCAGCAGACAGGCATGGCAGATTGAAAGCGAAACCCAAAAAAAAGACACAAGTAACGCAAAAAAAAAGACACAGATGACGCAAGAAGAAAAGACACAGATTACCCAAAAACTTGGGTACGGGCAGCCATTCCT